AATTTATGTTTATTTTATTTTTTAATTTATATTAACTTAATTCTATCCTTACAAAATTTTTGTGTTGGTTGCTGAATACATATTTAATCTATCGATATTTGTACTATTATAAGTAGAGACGTGTTGAATTATATCTGAATATTAGAATTAGCCATACCTACAAATTTTATTTTTTCAGTTTGTAGTTTATGTTTTGTTATGTTTATTTTATGTTCTCACATATAATATTATATAGATATTTTCCATATTTTTTGTATAAGTCGCTGAATACATACATTAATAATTTAGTTTCATTTTCCTTTTTACCACCCTCGCATCCCAAAAATTATTAAAATTTTTAAACAATTTGGAGAAACTATTATTAAACAATGTTGTTTTATTATATGCTACAATTTGTGAAATTTCACCATAAAATATTATATTAAATAAAACTCTAAAATACTCATTTACTCACACAATTATATGAATTAAAATATCGTCAAATGTCAAATAAATTATGTAAGTTTTTAATAAAATAAGTTTACTACAATTATTTGCTACAATTTAGCACAAATTGTTCCTGTCACCTTTTTAGCACCCATTTGTTAAACAAATTCATACAATTATGACACCAAATCCAACAAATTTTTCTCTGTGTAGGCAATTCTTTTGTTGGTTACTTTACAATTTTTCGAAATAACTTTTTTATTTATTTATTTGGATATTTGAGTTTTAGTACATTTAAAGGCACTATAAACCCCTTTAAAATAAGTTTTCAACTGAATAAAAATTTTCTATAAAAGCTCAGACATTCCACCAAGTTTTAGCTCTTCTAAGCAATAATTTTTGTTAAATCTTTTACATTTTGTTATTATAATACACAGTTCGAAAATATTTGTTAATTTTAACCAAATATTAACCAGATTTAATGTTAATCCAGATCAACATAACTTTATGTTAATTAAATAAGTAGTTTGTAATTATAACAAACATTTTGTAGATTTAATAACAAAATCCTGTCAATAATTCAACCATAATTCTTGTAATTTTTAAAAAGGAATTTTTTGTAGACCCAGTAACAAAAGTATTTGTTGGAAATTGGGAACTTAAATAAACATAATTTTAATAGGAAATCTTGCTTTACTAATCAATTTCCTAAACAAAAAAATAAAACATACCTACATAAATGAACACTAAAATAACATACACACAATTTATTTAATTCTAAAATCATCAAATAATAAATAAATTTGGTACACTATAATTATCAGTACTACTATAACACTTACAGATGTGTTTCGTAACTATAGTTATACCCATATACTATAGGAATACCCCACTTCACTGTATTTCAGTTTGAACACCATGTTGTGCGAAGTGCGAAGTATCCGAAAAAAGATGACATCACTGCAGTGATGTCATCTTTTTTCGGATACTTCGCACTTCGCACACTTCTTAAATAGGTTTAAGGAATCCGAATAACAATAGTAACAGATTTTTGGCAATATATTATAAACACTCTAGACAGTTGTTACGAACACGTTACAAAATAGAATAAAGTAAACAGAAAATTGCAGACACTGAAGTCAGTTGAACTTGTTAATAAAATCACGTGTACTTTTTCAACGAAATAATTTTTTAAACATTAAAAAAATAATCTGTAACCTTTGAAATTAACAAAATGCTTACAAAATTGCATATAACCTTTACAAAACTTAAGGTAAAATATTTTTTTTGTTAAAATAATTACAAAACCTGGTTTTCTACAAAAATTTATATTAAAATTTTACAAAATAAAATTAACAAACTACAAACTCATGTTAACGAATCTGATTTATATAACAGTGAAGCTAGCAAAACCTACAAAAAAACTGGCCTTTAAAATTCAATTTTCATGTCAATTTTTACTAGAGAAAATTGTAATAATTTTAGGAACTTTCTTTACATTGAAGACGTTGAAGTATTTATAATTGTGAAACTATAAGACCCAAACAATAAATCTTCCCGAAAGTTCACTATTACCGAAGACGATACTCCTTTCAAGAGTTGTGCTCTGTATAGAAAATTGCCGCACTAGGACCCTTCGTCGAAGCGTTTTTGTAGACTACAGAAACGCCAAATGCACCAAACAGCATTCTAAATGTTACACAGGGCATTGTTTTAGGAGATCGTCAGACACTGTCTGACAGACAGTATGTTAGCGGATCTCCTTACCTTAAAACAATTTGGGGGCTGGAAATCTTCAGCAGTGGCTGGAAATCTTCAGCACCTAAATAATTTTGCATTGTGTGTGTTCTGTTGTAAAATAAAATTGTAGAGAATTTTTTACTAAAAATGGGTCGATATCAATTTAACAGTGTCAATGGACCAACCTACAAACTACTGTTAAACTTACGTCCCAGGCCAATATAATTATCCCTGTATTGATTGTATGTAAGGTGAAGACACTTAAAACATATTTGAATCAATTTTGCTTTTATTTTCTTTCGATTCGATAAAAAAGACATTGTAAATTATTGAATTGCATTTTATAAACAATCAATGTGCAAGAGTACCGGCAACTTTGTTCAATGAGATTCATGCAAATAGACATCATGGTTACATCCTAGAATTAGTAGCAAAAACTGATACAGTGGCAAATAAAAAACGAGGTATTGAAAATCCGGTGTGAAATAAGGCAGTAGCTTTTCGGTGAAATTACTTTGGACCCTACATGAAGTACCTCAGAAATTAAACGTTTGGACTGTTTTTTTTTTGGTGATTACATAATTAGACCATTTTTCTCACCGGGAAATTTAAATGGAGCTACTTACTTACTTACTAATTATGGAAAACGACCAACGTTACCATGAAGGAAATCCGATATTTCAGCATTATGCATGTCGGCGGCCTTATTAATTAGTGGTCTACGCTCATGAATCTTTCATAGAATTTTGTTTATTTTTGTTGATAAGATTTGTGTGACGATGTTTAGGCTAAACAAAAAGTCCCAGGCATGTGGAGAATGTCATTTTCCTCGTATTAGGGGTTTATGATTAAGTCAAACACTAATACGATACATTTATTTTAGTTGATATAATTTATGTGAATTTGTCTATACAAATTGGTTATAGTTCTTTAAAACGTAGAAAATATGTTAGGAGGGGTAAAATGTTTTTTTAAGGAAACCGCTTGGCGATAAGCTTGGCGAACGGAACGGACCCGGCAGATAGATCTTCACTTGTCTTGAGACATGTTGAATCTCTAAATTGATTTTTGATTGACTATTGTTGGTCTAGCGGGTCGCGGATCATTGGTTTTCCTTTTATAGCTAATAATTAGTTTGGGACGATTAATATTAATTTTGTGTTCTGTGCGGATTTATCTGACTACGTGTTTTATTAAATAACTTTTAAAAACCAGTGTCGTGCATTCTTTAACCTCAGTCGCCCTCGTTAATCTCTGACATGCATTACCTGTACCACAGTTTCTAAATGAAACGTTTCCTGGTAGATGAATTGGGAGAAGGGGTGCTATCAAAAGGTCCGCAAGATCACCGGATTTATCTGCATATTTCTGAAATACCCACTTTTGAGTGGGATAATAGCTTCCAAATCTGGTTGAAAAAGTGGTTAGATGTTTGAAGGATTGTTTTAACATTCTCATAAAAAATGTTCTTAGTTCAACCCTGTCATTTCGTTTAAAGAAGCACCCCTATCGGACGAGCAATATATGATGCTTCGGCGAGAACTGGCTGCCTGTTATTTGCATATACATGTGTTTTATGGTTCAATTGCGCTTGTTTTTGTCAGATTTTAATTTTATTTTACTGCCTTAAATTTACACTTTGTGCGTGCAAGCGTAGCTACCCGTGGAGTCGGACCCGCGCCCTTTCCTATACACACGAAATTGTATTAATTTCAAGGGAATTATTTAAGATTTTCGGGATACAAGGGATTTACATATATTTCCACTTAATGCAAAAGATTTGATGATATATAAAACCGTATGCAGAAACGTTGATTTATTTATATCAACATACTTATAGCTATAGCATATTAGTGGAATTAGGTTTTTGTACGACATGGCAACGCAGTAATTTTCTAAAAAAATTGTTGTTTTAAAAAATAAATTGGTCAAAAATGACTAATTGTCATAGCGAAAAAGCAGTCACTAATAATTCTCGCCAATAGCAATTTGTATGCCGAACATTTAGCAGTAAATTTCCAAAGTAGAACAGTTTTTGAGAAATAGTCAATTTTCCATATAATATGGAATTGACTATATCTCAAAAACTGAACTACTTTCATATTTTGGGATTTTCGGATTCAGGGGACAATTTTACATAAGATTTGGCTGTTAAATGTTGGGTACCATGGTATCCCATGATTAACCATTGTATAAGTGAAAAAGCAGCCACTAATAACTGTACTAACTGGTCATTTTTGACTAATTATCTTTAAAACGTTTATATTATCCATAAAGAGTTGATTTCTACATATTGACATTTTGAATTAGATGTAAAACAATTATAATTTCATCAAGATATATTTTACATTATTTATTAGATATTAACGAAATAAATTTTTCCAATAATAAAAATTTTGATATTGACATATGTTATGTTTTTTACTATTTACCATTAAAAAGAATTAATCTAAAAAATACCAATTTAACCTATTTATTTGATTATTCTGATAATGATTATAAATAAAAAAAATGTAATTTATGGAATTGCACGAATATTGAAATCTAAAGTTAATAAAAGAACACAGTTTTAGTTTCAACAACTTTTGACCATGGGATGTGATTTTTATAATTTTTCAAACAACAACATAGAAATCATTGACACCGATTTTAAACTTGATCATTATAAAAATATCCAGTTAGATATGGATAATACAACAATCTTGTGTAATTTAATAAACTAAATTATGAAACAATAAGGTGTTAGAATAACGAAATTATCTTTAATTGGGCAACAAATAAAGAAAATATTAATTACACCATGTCCTCTATAATGAATGAATGATACAATTGTAATGATAAATGCAAATGTTTTTGATACCCGATTTATACGTTTATGGTGGATTGCTCAAATAAAAACTAGAGAAAATTCCAATATTTTTGTCTCCAAATTCCAAAAAAAGGTAAAAAACCCGAAGTAAAAATATAAAGAACTTGCGAAATAATAACCTAGTTAAAGTGCCTTCTCAACATAATGGATATGATAATGTTACTGTTTTAATATTGTCTGGAAATAAAATATAAAATATTTTATGGATACCACCCAAAATACAATACATCCATAATACGTAAATTAAAGAACAAATAACATAATCAAACTTTTTAAGATCTATATTTGGATCACAATGATATTTCATTTTTAAATGAACATTTATTATAATAAAACTTTTGTGGGTATAATAAAAAAATATTTTAGGTGGTTGACAAAGAAAATGTTAAATGTATAATATTTGTACATTTCCTTGGGTTATAATATTAGTATTAGTATTTTTTTTGTTTATAATCAGGCCAATTCACTAACATAAGTTGTTAACGTTAGCCACTAGAATCAGTGGTTATCGTTATATTTAAACGGCCCGATTGGCCGGATTGTATGAGGCGCCGTTTGCGTCAAAATTATATTAGGCATATATAGATAAAAAATTCCACACATACATGCGAAAATGCAAATATAAAGTTTATTTTTGGTACATATATAGAAATGCAAAAGGTAAGGTACAAATATAAAGTTTTGTTTTGGTACATTTATAAAAATGCAAAAGTGCAGGTATAAATATAAAGTTTTGTTTTGGTACATATATAGAAATGCAAAAGTGCATGTACAAGGTTTCGTTTTGGTACACATATAGATATGCAAAGATGTGGGTACAATTATAGAATATAATATAATGTTATATAAATATATATATATAATGTTATATAAAGTGTAGCATGGGCCGTTGGTACAAATATAAAAAGTAAGGTTTGGGACGGAGACACAAGATGGCGTATTTAACACTTTCAACCACATACTTTCAAGTATGTGCTTTCAACCGCGCTTAAGCGTACGTCTGTTCTTACTACCGGCATTTAAATGTTCTATTGTGTAAACTACTTTTAACGTTTGTTTGTTTTAATTAAAAGGAGTTTAGTTGAAAATAAGTTATAAACGCCGTTTTACTTTTTACTCTTACCTATTTTTTACAAAACGATTCGTTTTAATTAAAACAAACATTAAAAATAGGTTAAACTAGAAACTTAAATGCCGGTAGTAAGAACAGACGTACGTTTAAGCGCGGTTAAAAGTGTTGAAAACGCCATCTTGCGCCTCCGTCCCAAACCTTACTTTTTATATTTGTACCAACGGCCCATGCTACACTTTATATAACATTATATTATATTCTATATTTGTACCCACATCTTTGCATATCTATATGTGTACCAAAACGAAACTTTGCACATGCACTTATGCCTTTCTATTTATGTACCAAAACGAAACTTTATATTTGTACCTGCACTTTTGCATTTTTATATATGTACCAAAACAAAACTTTATATTTGTACCTTTACTTTTGCATTTCTATATATTTACCAAAAAGAAACTTTATATTCGCATATATGTGTGGAATTTTTATCTATAAATGCATAAAATAATTTTGACGCAAACGGCGCCTCATAGGATTGCCCGATAACCACTGATTCTAGTGGTTAACGTTAACGACTCATCTTGGTGAATTGGCCTGATTATCCTCTTTCTTGGCAAGTTACTACAAATGGAAAAAATACATAAAAATATGGCTGTATGGATGGTTGATATAGTTTGTCACGGAAGAAGAATTGGACAAAGTCAAGGTTTACGATGTTTTCCTTAGTTTCTCTCAAAAAGGCGATGATTTCGTTCTTAGAACCTTACTGCTCGAACTTAAATCAAGACCCAATCCTTACAGAGTTTGCGTGCACTTTAGAGACTGGATACCTGGAGTACTTATAACCGAGCAAGTCATAACTTCTGTAAGAGATTCCCGAAGAAATTTCGTGATTGTTTCGAAAAATTTCTTGGACAGCTGCTCGACGAAAATGGAATTCCGAACCGCTTACACGCAGGACCTCACCGAAGGAAGAACCAGGGTAATAGTTCTTGTGTATGGGGAAGTGGACATGACGCAAATTGATGGAGATACATTAAGTGAGAAGCTCCGTGGTTCTGGAAGAAGATGTTTTACGCGCTGCCACATTAAAATAGAAATAATCAAGGAGACAGAAAGTGGCCACCGAGATTGTGTGATCAGACGGCTTGGAGTTTTTCTGTGGGGATTTCTAAAGTCTCTTGTCCACTCCAACAATGGTATATGGGGCGGAAAGTAACATATGTGGTTTTCTTTTTTTTTTTTACTTTTTTGAGTTTCAAAATGGCAGGTGTCAAAACTGACAGGTGGCACGTAGTTTTTCATATGTAATGGTTTTAATTTTTTTAAAGTTCGAACAGATTTTTAATTTGTTGCTAAGCGTTTTCTTTGGTAAGACTCAATTATAAATTTTTACCAAAAACCCACAAAAAATCTGTCTTGCCGGATTATTATTTAGTTTTAAGAAAAAATGCGGTAAGCTTAACAGGAAATCGAAAGCTTCATGAAAAAAAATATATTAGGTACTTTACTTATTAAATGGTTTAATTATGCCAATTACAAGTGCATACGAAAAAAAAATCATCGATTTTTATCGCCACGTTATAAGAAATGAATAAATCAATCATCAGGCAGCCAATACCGAGAGCTCTAGCCTAAGTTAAACATATGAGCTTTAAATATTGCTAGGAGACGAAGAACATTGTTTTCTTAAAACTTTTAAAAATCTTTTGTCCGACTATGTTTACTAACCTTTCAAAAAGGAATGTCATACTTCAGGACACCAAGAAAAATTAAACAACCACTTCTTGCGGTATTACCTTCCGGCTACAGATGCTGCACTCGCCTAAAATGAACGTCCTTTATAACCTGCTGAACTGTGAACGGGAAACTCGCGTGCAACTTCCCTTATGCTCTTCCTACTATTTGCATCAAGGCCCTTTTTTAATGCCCTTGATTCAAGGGCATTAAAAATAGCTTCCTTATTTTCTGCTGTTCTAATACGTTAAGGAGCACCTTCAATTTCGTTACAAGGCAGAGCAACTTTAAAGTCCAGGGAAAGATAGGGAAAGCGGTGGGAAAAAACTCGTGCTGCCTCCCTAGCATTGCGCCCATACTCATAAATAAATAATTTCGGCATAATCAGAGGAATAAAACATAACTTAAAATGATAAATAATGACATGTCCTGCAGGAACAGGAATTGACAGCAGTGTCACAATGAAGTGGATTCCAAATATTTTACATATTATATTATCAACAATGCAATGCATTGAATGCATCCTAAGTATCCTAGCAATTTAAATAATTTCCCATGGTCATGTATTGGGATTGGCTATCGTTTTTTATTCTTATCTCGCTTATCCGCTGCGTAAGATAATTTTCAAATATGTGTTTCGCATAACTTTCGGCCCGTTTCCTTTTTCCCTGTATTTCTACTTGATGTAAGAGATTTGGTGACGTATTTCAAAAATAACTAATTTTAATTGTCAAAACGCACATCAAATATCTTCGCAAAGTCGTAAATAAAACTCCCGGTATCCAGTGCCAAATCCGAAGGTGGAAACGGCGCAGCATTTAGCAGTTAAGATGATGTGCAAATATTTCTGGGTGTATTTAGCAACCTGCAACCCTTCTAATTAATTAGAGCAACTCCACCCAAGGGGGTGATAATCCGCCCTTACTTAAAGATGCTAAATATTAAGACGACTCCACCCTCCATCTTACTGCAGCAAGAAAGTCCAAGTCGAGTATTCACCGCGTTGTTCTTTTCCGAAATGGAATACGAACGTTTAGGCTTTATTACTTCGAGAAGATGATTAAGTTAGATTAGAGTTGTTGGGCTCATTATTATTTATAAGTTCGGGAGTTTCGTTACAACGAATGTTTGGAGAGTTTGAATGTGTTCAGTTTCAACAGTCAACAAAGATAAAAATTTGTTGGATTTGGTTTCATAATTGTATGAATTTGTTCAACAAATTGGTGCTAAAAAGGTTACAGGGACAATTTGTGCTTAATTGTAGCAAATAATTGTAAAAAACATATTATAATAAAAACTTACATAACTTAATTTATTTGACATTTGAACATATTTTAATCTAATCGGCTCATATAATTTGTAAATTTGTATGTGAGTATTTTAGAGACTTTTTTAATATAATATTTTGTGGTGAAATTGCACAAATTGGGTCACATAATAACTTAACATTTTTAATAATAATTTCTCCAATTTGTTTAAAAATTTTAATAATTTTTGGAATGCGAGGGTGGTAAAAAGGAAAATGAAACTAAATTATTAATTTAGATACCTATGAGTCATTCCAAATAAAAACACCAAATGGGGTGCGCTGCGTGATTTTTTATTTTGATGAAAAAATTTGAGGATGATCTTTTAGGTGTCAAATATGAAAATCCGTTGCCGTTTTAATTTTTTGTTGCTTTACTTTTATTTGGCACCCCTTAGATGTCTGAAATAGTGTCAATTTCTTACTCTCTTATAGTGGGCCAGAACTTTTTTTCTGTGACAAATATTGAAATAATTTTAATTTTGTTATACTGTCCAGTAAGTGTGTTTTCGATATAAATTATTTTTATCCAATTAGTTAATCTCATAAAAGAATGGTAAACCACTAAAGATTCATGATAATTTGCCAATTTTTGTGATTTTTGTCTGGCTCCTGTGCCTATTCTACTGAATTTAGAAGGTTCATTTTTTTCAGGTATAAAGTACTTATACAATAGAAAACGTAACTATTATTTTAAGTTTCTAGACTATCAATTTCTTTATTAAAAAAATTATTGAAAATTGATAATTCTCAAAATTAGCCAATTTTGCCCTCAGAAATCATTATGTTGAGGAAAAAATAAAAATCTGAAACTTTCAGGAAATGTAGTCCCCACCTTCATCTTTTCAGTCCAGTTAGTCTTGTTTTGTTATTTTTATTCCTTTAAAAGATATATTAATTTTTTTAATGGCCGTTTAGTAGCGATATTGTTAGTTTTATTTATAATTTAAAATTTGGATGGCTTTCATGTTTGGTGGAGAAGTGTCAGAACTGTCAAAAATATTTCATAAATATTATTTGTGCGTATTTCTTTGGTAAATTTTGTATATAACATAATATGTAATACGAGTATTATGTTATATATAAAACTTTTTAAAATCACCAAAGGAATACCACAAAAAATAATTATGAAATATCGTAATATAGTTAAAAGTTATATGTATGTATTTTAAATGTAAGTGTTGGAAAAAATTTACACAATCTGTAAATACTTCTTTAAATTTTAGTTTTTAGGTAACTGGTTAAAATAAAACATGTTATAATAAAGGGGTTTATTAAGAATATTTTTTGGTTTTTGCTTATTTTTAACAATTTAAAACTTCTCAGAACTTAAATATTTTCTATAAGAAAGAGGTACAAAATTATAATATGTTCTTGCATTTTTAATTGCAATTAAATTCATTAATCTCGAACACTCCGTCATTTATTACACTTGCAAACTTGCAAACTTTTTGAAACCACAATTTAAATACACACAAATAAAATTTATGAAACATTTTTGACAGCTCTGACATTTCTCTACCAAACATGAATTGACAAAGTCAAAGCCATCTAAATTTTAAATTATAAATAAAACTAACAATATCGCTACTAAACGGGCATTAAAAAAATTAATATATCTTTTAAAGGAATAAAAATAACAAAACAAGACTAACTGGACTGAAAAGATAAAGGTGGGGACTACATTTCCTGAAAGTTTCAGATTTTTATTTTTTCCTCAACATAATGATTTCTGAGGGCAAAATTGGCTAATTTTGAGAACTATCAATTTTCAATAATTTTTTTAATAAAGAAATTGATAGTCTAGAAACTTAAAATAATAGTTACGTTTTCTATTGTATAAGTACTTTATACCTGAAAAAAATGAACCTTCTAAATTCAGTAGAATAGGCACAGGAGCCAGACAAAAATCACAAAAATTGGCAAATTATCAGGAATCTTTAGTTGTTTACCATTCTTTTATGAGATTAACTAATTGGATAAAAATAATTTATATCGAAAACACACTTACTGAACAGTAAAACAAAATTAAAATTATTTCAATATTTGTCACAGAAAAAAAGTTCTGACCCACTATAAGAGAGTAAGAAATTGATACTATTTCAGACTTCTAAGGGGTGCCAAATAAAAGTAAAGCAACAAAAAATTAAAACGGCAACGGATTTTCATATTTGACACCTAAAAGATCATCCTCAAATTTTTTCATTACAATAAAAAATCATGCAGCGCACTTTTAAATTCATTTTTGGTGTTTTCATTTGGATTGACTCCTATGTATTCAGCGAAAAAATATGGAAAATAGAATACCTAAACTTAATATAAACTGACACTGACAACATAAATTAAACCTAACAATTACAAATTGAAAAAAAAAATTCGTAAACCACATAGTTATTGGACACTTAAGAAATATTATCTATTTAAAATTTATATATGCCGTTTTTTCTTATAAATATATAAAAAGGATAGTTTGTTTGTTTAAACTTTATTTACGATTACTTAAAAATAAGAATATTTGAATTTTTAATAATAGTTTTATAAAAACATGCAAAAAAGTACCTATAGTAATTGGACATTTTATATAGTAATTGGACTGATGGACCATAGTTATTGGACATACAATTTTTATATAAACATAACTTTACATCAAATAACATAAATTGTTAGATATTTTTTAAAGGTAAATTGCTGTTTTAGGTAATTTCGTTTTTGTAAATATCATATAATTCATCTCGGATTTTTCATCCCTTCTTTGGATTCTGAAGGTAACTACTAATTCCTTGGTCTGACTTCTGTAATAGTTTGTTGCAAATATCATTAAGTATGGTATCTCTAGTTTGTGAAGCATTTATAATGTTTAGGCCGGAACAGGATGATTTATATATATCTCTAATATTTTTTCGGGTGGTATGTTAAAAGTATTTTCCGAATTTATTAAT